AAACTTGCGACGCGTTGGAACAGAAACCTCCTCATCATTATTTTGTAATAAGATTGACCATAAAATAATAATCTAATGATATATATATTTTCTTAATTATGTTTATTCTCAGTAATATACAAAGTATATCATTAGATTATTATTATTTTAATTACTTCGACGAGTGAGATAGAGATAATTGCTTTGTTGGACAAAAATAAGATACAGATATATTTAAATTGAACTTCAAAACACAAATAAAAAGAGTGATAACAATAGACGTAACAATAAGATTGCGGTCGTTTCACTTCCAAAGCTCTACGCCATGCCCTCACTCCACCTTTCTTGTGGATAAAGCCGGAATGGCCCCACTGGTCACAGCCATAACTAACATGCTCTCTCTCTCTCTCTCTCTCTCTCTCTCTCTCTCTCTCTCTCTCTCTCTCTCTCTCTCTCTCTCTCTCTCACACACACACACACACACACACACACACACACAGGCAAAGATACAAAGTGAAGTCACACAAAACGTCACCTTCCAGGAGAGGCGCAGTGCACGGTACACTATGGATCCGCAGTTGGCCGCAGAGCTGAAGAAAGTCTCCCAGATCGATGGAGGTGCACGGCAAACATCACTTCAGGAGCGACAACGTTAAGTGAGATAGTGTGAAAAGGAGGGCCCACAGATCGCACACCTTGCGTCCACGGCTCTGTACACGGACAGATATCGAAGACGTTGGCGCTCCCCAACCTTTGGGAAATTGGGAACACGCGGCACACACCCAACACCCCCCAACTGCAAAATGTCCCACTGACTGAATAGCAGCGCAGCGCCGCGCCGCGCCTCGTGCACAGAACGTAATCGCAAACATGTCAACAAGTGCTCAGCCCTAGGGGGTGTAGGTAGTACCAGGGCTACCGTCTCGTGCGGCCCTAAGGCTTGGTACCCCTTCTGTGATAAAAGTTGGCTTGGCTGAATTTTGAACCGCCAGCCCATCATCGCCCAGGCAAACGTGAGAATAATCGAAATCGCGCGGACTGCGAAACCCCCGCGGCTCGGGGCTATTGACCACAATGGCTGGGGAGGGCTGACAAAAGACCAAAGTGGCTTGACTTACCAATTTGGCTAGACTTACAAAGGGGCCTACCTACTTCCCCCAACATAACGCCTATGCATTTTAAACAAATAGAAGGCATACGTACGTTGTATGCGTTGTATTCGAGGGCAGTGCAGCAACTTTTTGGGCAAAAGGGGCGAGGGTCCAGCCTGAGTAGGCTCAGGGCATACTCATTGACTTACCGTGAGGGCACGGGTGCACAGCCCGTAGTTTGTTTGTTGATGTTGTTGTGGACGTGTGTGTGTGTGTGTGTGTGTGTGCAAGAGAGAGAGAGAGAGAGAGAAAAAAAAAAATCAGGTGCGGCACCACTTTGTCAAAACGCCTCGATCGATAAGGCACCACGCTCCCAGCGCACACAGGGAGACTATCACTTTGTGAACGCAGAGGGAACGGGAGCGGCTGCCGCTGCTTTTGGCCTGTTTCGATTTCGACCACAAGAGGCTTCCAATTCAAACCACCACTCTACCCGACGTTGAAATTCGGGGTTCCGGTAGCACAGGTCCATGAGGGCTACCAGTAGCACAGAGTGGAGAACCGGCAGAGTGGTGAATATGGAAAATGGGATGAATTTGCGCTATAAGCTATTGTGCGGTTGAGACAATTTTTTAAATGTTTTTAAACATTTTTCCTGAAAAGATCATGACCAAATCTACGGACCCTCAAAATTTCAGACTTGTTTACGAGTTCTTCTGAGCGTGAAAAATCTTTGAAATAGGGGTACTTTTCCCATTGGCCCACAAGTTATCGTGTGCCAAAAATAGAAAAAGTGACGAATTGGCGTGACATTTATTTTATGGTCTAAACGATTTTATTTTATTTTGTTGATATTTTTTCTGGAAAAATCACGACCTGGCCTACCCGATGTCAAATTTTCAGATATTTTCTCCAATTATTCTGCATACGAAAAATCGCCAAAGTTGGCGCTCGAAAATTGTAAGATTGGACCCGCCTACGCCTTCTAATCGGCACCCCCCCTAAAACCCGCCCTAACTCAGCGGAATGCCAATTTTCAGGACCCGGCCTCCCCGACCTCCTGCGGGCAGCTACCGGTCCTCCAACAGCGAAAACTTTTCAGGATCCGGCCTCCCCGACCTCCTGCGGGCAACTAACGGTCCTCCAACTACCGCACCATTTGGTGACGACGACGAAATTTCTCAGGGGCATAAAACGCACCCCTGACGGGCTGCGAACAGGACCGTTTGGTAACGCAACCCTGACGGGCTGCCTATTTCCCACGAATTGGACCCCCAGCAAATACACCACCCTTCCAACTACCGCACCGTTTAGTGACGACGACGAAATTTCTCAGGGGCATAAAACGCACCCTGACGGGCTGCGAACAGGAGGACCAAAACACCCTAAATCCCAAAAATAGAGTCAGTTTTAGGGTCATATTGGAGAGACCCGCTGCCCAAATGCCTCAAAAGGTGACCCTTTTGTCAGCGGTTTGCGGGGCCGCGGGAGGACCCTTTTTTAGACCACCTCCAGAAGTGGTCTCAATTACTTTTCGTTTTTTTTTTTGAGAAAATTTTCGAGCTGCCCCTGAAATTTTGATTAATTTGCGGCATGCCCCTCTGCCGGCCAACTTACCCTGTCACGCCCCTCTAACAACGAATGATGTTTCCAGAAAAACCCTGGTGTCGTTTGGGCTTTAAACATGTTTCATATGCCCCTACCGGTACCTCTCCCAAATTTCCAGTACGCCAACCAACAGAAACATTTTCCCTATGTCCCTACCGGTACTGAGCATCTGTCCAGCATGCCCCTGTGGCTGTTCTTGACACTCTCGGCCTTTCCACTGGCCCTAGGAGAGGATCTTTCTACCATGCTCTCTCTCTCTCTCTCTCTCTCTCTCTCTCTCTCCTCTCTCTCTCTCTCTCTCTCTCTCTCTCTCTCACACACACACACACACACACACATGCTCACCTTCGCACAGCAGCAACTCCAACCAGCGAACGTAAGAGACTGACTGCTGTAGCATTTTCAGTGGTCTGCTGCAAGGGCGTCACAGAAAGATGCATGCCCCTTGTAAGCGCATTTCGAAAAGGTACCGACAAAATGCCATCCACGGTCCAGTAAGGGCATAACGGAAAGTTGTGCCCCATGCTGACAGGGGCCTGCAGAAAATTCAGAGGCCCCAGGGGCACAACATGGTAAGTCGGCGTTCAGAGGTGCACGCGGCAACTTAATAGGAATTTCAGGGGCATCTAAAAAATTTCCCCTTTTTTTTATGTTCGCGAATTGAAGAGAATAGTCTACGAAAAAGACAGTCCGCCAAACAACTGAAAGGGTGAATAGAAACGTTTACGTTGTAGCAAGGCCCACGCGTTATAAAAAAAAAAAAAAAAATTCATCTTTTTGTTTGGTCCTCCCCCGTGTGACTAGACGCACTTGCCCTGAGTGCAAAGTGTCAGGGTCGCGGCTTCGTCCTTTATAGACGAGGTCCGCCAGTGTGACCACACGGGGACCAAATGCCTGAAAAAAAAGCGAACCAAATACCTCAAATTTTTGAGACTTTTGGTCCCCGTATGAGTATATCCTCAATTCTGGTCCTAGGCTGAGACTATTGGAAAAACTCCAAAAGAGGAAAATTCAAAAATGTGGTGTCATATCTTTCCATGTGCTGGCCGAGGCCTCCCTCCACTCCTCACGAAATGTGCAAAATGAGAATGAATCTTCCGCTTCGACGCCCCAATGTAGTGAGATGCGTCACTCCTCACTTCCCGTTGCCCCCCCTGCCACTTTCTTGGCTTCCCTTTGTCAGACAGTGGGAGATACCTAAGAAGAGGGCAGGTCACGCACACACAGTCGGGGGAGGGAGGGGGAGGGGGGGGGGGAGATAGATAGATAGATAGA